TCAAGCATAAGTAATAAACGAAGAGTATATAAAAAAGCCTGTGCACATATATGCCAGGTTTCACACTGTTTATAATTTATGCACAATGCAAAAATACATCAGTGCTAAATCAAGTCAGTAATAACCCAAAAGTGACTTTATTTTATTTTATAAAAAAGTGACACTGAGCGAAATGGTATTGAAATTCCCAAGAGATAGTAGTGTCTTTTGCAATTCCAGGTATACTTCCTGCTATTAATCCTTAAACAACTAAGAAACCAGCTTAACTTTTGTTCACTCACACCTTTGTTTTTGGGTCATAGTGACTTGACACTTTAAAATATCATCTAACGTGGTAAATAAAATTGTACCTTTTTTAAGTGCCCATAAAGTTATCATAAGAAATATATATTCACGATTTAACATAGCAAGAAATCCCAAAATAAATATCCTATCCTGATAATTACCATGTGCTAACTAGTGACTAGCTTCGTGAGGGAATACTCAGAGTTCTAGTGAGAAGCCATAACCAGTGGAGCTAACCCGTGTCGGGTCGAGACAGGTATCTACCTCAGTACAATGGAATATGGTCGCACAATTTCACGGATTGGTTGACGTTAAACATTAACACAGTTGGATGCCGGCCAGCTCAGTGGTCTAGAGGTTAAACGTTCGTGCACGTGACCGCTAGGTCATGGGTTGAAATCCCGTGAGCGGAATCATGGATGAGCACTACTAAAGATTCCCACAATAGGACGAAACGGCCGTCCAGTGCTTCCAACTTTTCAATAATCATCTAACATCAATCGATTCATCATCTCAATCAAAGAATTACTTTAAGGCATGATTAAAATTGAAATTTACATTAACTATAAATATCTAGTTAAAGTGTTTTGATTATGACAGTAATTCGAAACAAAAATTCCAATGAAAATGAATATAATTTTTTATGAATAAAATATTAAATTTTAAAAAAAATATTAAATATTATCAACAAAATATAATTATGAATAATATTTATTATTTTATTGAATAATTATTTCATAATTTGTACATTGGATTCATATATAATACAATTATCATCTTAATAAGTTGATAATCTGTAATATTAGGGAAATTCTTTATTTTATTTTAAATACAATTTATCTATGAGTCTAGAAGAAGAACAAGAAGAAAAAAAAAGAAAGAAATTCACTGAAGAATTAAAAACCACGAATTTCAGCGAAAGGATCTCTTTTCAACGAAGTTATTGTCAATCTATACAATCGTGTACATATATATGAAAAAAAATTTTTTTTCTTCGGAAATCAAAATATGAAAAATCAAAGGCTTATTGAAAGACAATAATCATAATAATAATAATAATAAAAAGAAAATATTACATCTAATAAGATAATATATTTACCATATTAAAATAAATATATTGACATTATATAAGTAGTCTATAGAATTCATACATTGAATTTATTGAAATGTTTAAAAGTAATCATCTTACTCTTTCTTCATCTATCCAATAGATAATGCTTAAAGAACAATTACATCATCAATAGAAAAGAAGAACTATTCAAGGAGCTTAAAAAATAAATTTAAATTCATTATGCATATAGGTTTTATATTGTATGGTACCAATTTACTGTATATAAAGAACATGAAATAAAAGGATAACAAAATTCATCACTTCTGAAGCATATTATTTAGATGTATAATTTATTATTTATTTTTTTTTTGAGCAAATACTCTTGACAACATACATTTAAGTATCTGAATTCTAGAAATCAATTTTAAAAGACAAAAAAAATTGTTGAATCGGTTTGGAAATAAAAACTATACAACAAATAACTTCTTCTGTTATTGTATTAATCTGAAAGAATGACAGTAAACCAAGCAACTTTTCGTCTCATAATCTAATTGTATTATTTAGCTAAAAGATTGAGAGAGAAAAAAAGTAGTAAATGAAAAATTGATTAAAATTTCAATGGAACAATTCATGAATATACATTCTGAACAACTATCATATAAATTTGAATAGCTTAATAAAAGTATACAATAGTCATTAAACATACAGTTATATTTCTTAAGAATATAATATGATATCTCACTGAATAAAATTATAATTCCTTGAATCACATGATGGAGATTAACATTTAATCTGTCCAGCTCTAGTTAACTAGTCACTGTTCTCAAATCATCGAGTTTATAAGTACTTCAAAGTACGACTACATTAAATACTCAGAGTGCATGAATATCACATTCTGTCAGTTAAAGAATCGAAGAAGTTTTACACGAAAATGATTAAGAATGAATACAAATTAAAAACAAAATGTAGCTAATCATTTACCAATCACACAGCAAATAAACTTAAAATTTCTCGAAGAATGCTGAACACATATAACTAGACATTTATAGAACAGATCTTATTAGTATCATTGTTCGCTTTTAACTAATATTCCCCAAATCATTGAAATTTTTTTTATCTCATTCCACAAAAACAAACTGGCAAATTAAGACTTCAATTTCACAGCTCCATTTTTACAGACTAGGTTAAAATCTATAATTTATTTACCGAAATGAATAGTGTAATTGAAATAAAGTTCAGTCATTTATATTTCTATAGCTATCATTCATGAGTACATAACTTTGGGAATGTAGAATAAAGTTCTTTTGCTCAGATTAACAAGTTATTGATTTACTATGAAATTCGCTTCACTCGAGTATCTGACATATTAAAATTCATTGTCCTTCAGTTAGACGTTTAGAGCTAAATATCAAAATGCGGTCATATAGGATATTTGTTATTCTTGTAAAACATTGTTCACGTCTAGATGAAAATGTATTTTTTATTTATACACGGTTGGTGAAAAATATTTTACATCGTACTCTTTCGATTTATCCATCATATAAAACCCATCGATATAGATAAATAATAAGTCGAGTAACTTGGAGATTTATAGAATGTTTAACTGAGCATAGTTCACTACGAAGATCTACACTTTAATATTATTAGCATTCGTTTTTGTTAAACGTTCAGATGATTTTAACTATTTTTTTATCAATACCAAATAGAATTACTCCATTAAACGGTCACAGCTTTTTATATTTACACCAGATGATAAATAGAATTTATATCATCTAACTTGACATACTACATTTTAAGGAAAAATAACCCAATAAAAAAATGAACCCAGTAAAATCATTTCATTTCTAAATTATAAAATCATTTTACGTACAAAAGAAAAAAAAAGATTCATTTTTATATTGATTTGTTCAAGTTTTGTAATTCTTGTCATTTAAGACATTATCGAGGCAATCCATATAGGATACACATATACTAAAAGAGATTAATCAATTCCAGTCCTAAACAATTATAGCAACATTCAAACAACCAATTCAAATCTAAGTTATAAAAACACAAAATGGAAGGTTATATTTACTTTGATGAAGTTGGATCTTTTTATAGTTAGTATAACTATTGATTAATTGAACGTGTTACTTTTCCATGATAAAATAAATGACTAGACATATTCCCGATTTTACACGAAACACTAGTTGTTTATCGGGCTGTTATTTGTTCACGTTGAAACTATACATTATTCATTTCGACATAAATAATTTAATATTACTGACATTTAGGTGCTAAAATGTCGACAGGGATATTTGATTTATATTTGGCTATTCTTCTAAATGCCTCACTTGAATGCACAATTATGGAAGCTTATGAGGCGTTATTGAAAAGAATATTTTTCTTTCATATATCTGTGTTTTAAGTAACGATTTTATTCAAGATACAAGCCTCTAGACAAATAGCGAAACACATTTCCTCTTATTATTTACTTTACTTATTTATTTGATCACATAAATGTTGGTATAAAGGGGCACCGAATATATATGCGCCACACAACTGACTTGATTTGTGTGTGGGCTGTGACTATGCTCGAGTGCTCAGATCGAAGTAGGTGGTCAACGGAATTGTTAATAATGTATCGATGATATAGAGGTGAATTGATATAAAACACAATAAAGAACGTTTAATGCAGTAAAATTGATATTGAATGTTAAAAGCGAAGTATCTCAAATAGTTGATGCATTTTTGTTGTAACCAATTCCATTATTTAATCAATGTAAGTTACTTTGGTCAGAACCAAAAACAGTTTGATTATTCAAACTCTCGTTTAAACAGGCAAGTCAGAAGTAAACCATTTAGGGATTGAACAAAAGGCAAAAGTTACTGACTTAGGAAATAAATATAAAACACAAATGTATGAACGAAGAATATTCTTTTCAATAATTTCTCATCAGGTTCTACAATTATCATATCCAAATTAATAATCCATAAAATTGGCCAGGTTTAAGGCAGAGTACATCACTTAAAATTGTAATTGTTGTGGATGCGCAGGAATAGACCAATAATTATCATGTTAAGTCCAATGGTGTCCTTGGACTTTAAATGGACATTTTCTATTGGTCGATATCTGTTCACTTGTGAATATTGTACAAAATGTTGTTTTCTATTTTTATGGTACGATGTGGTTTGTTTGCTTGGTATATAAATAGAGTATGTTTGAAATACAATGATTCATATCTCAGAGGTTGTGACTTGTCTTCTGGACTCAACTGGCTGGACTAGACAGGGAACTAGGACCAATCAGAACCCTAGGTCGTTCTACGTGTTTGTGCGTCTTTGGTCCGATCAATAATTCGCTCCCCCTTAATCCGCTGCATTATTTTTTCACAGTCATAACAGTAATATGTGAATCAAGAATCGTTTTTTGTCATATCAAGTCAAATTAAATCGTTAATGTTGGGATAACTATTATGAAGTGTTAACTTGAATCAGTTTATAAGTGAAATGAAATTGTGAGATAAATGATCAGAACAAATGTGGTCAATATGGGGTGTGAGAGAATATAATGTAATTACAAATCATAAATTACGTAATATGTAGAATAATATGAATTAGGTCAGATATAGTAGATAGGGGTGGATGCTGAATAGATTTCTCAAAAAGGTTAGCAAGTGTAATAATAATAATGATAATAATAATAATATAAAACTGAATCTGTGTATCCAAATTAAGTAGATTTAAACTTTATTACTACGATGATGCGGTACAGGGACAAGAGATTCATATTCATTTGCACTTTACAACAACTACAATACATATGGTGTGCTTTTCTCTTTTTATTTTCAATTCCGGCACCCAACTTTATTTGATTTAATTACATTGATCATGAACACTTGGACACATTATTTAGCCCATTTCTTGTTTTTACTATATCGTGCTAAAATCAAATGAGTTGAATTCACGCATTATATATCCTATAGTTCTGATTCTTATTTTCACTGTCTTATTTTAGCTGCAGTCAAATTCAGGTATACATTAAACGTAATCAATCTATTGTTTACAGATATCAGCAAAATAATCCAAGCTATAAATGGGAATTCATTTTCTGCACCTTTTTCAAAATATTTGTACAAAAATTTGGAAATATTTAACATTGACTATATGTTATACATTCTTCCTTATATTATTTTACAGTATAGAATTGTGTGGATCAAGTGGCCGCCTGAAGAGATTCCTGTATTTTTCGAAATGATGCTAATAAAAGCAATCATCAATTTCGATTAACAAATTCAATCATGTTATCTCTGATCTATAACACCAATTAAGCTGTCTTTGTGTGTATTTAAATATGTTCAATATTTTTTTATTATTTCTAGGTATTTAAAAATAATTAACCCAAGTTACTTGATTGAATTTTAGATTAAAAACATAACGCTGTGATGCATTTATCTTGACTTGTAAACAATTCGCAATAATTACATATTTTGCACTCATAAAAACAAATAGTTAGCCTCAATATTTTTAATGAGAGATTTGCAAGTAGTGATGTCAATCAAGCTAGAATAAATAATACTGAAGATAGACTCTTCAGAAGATTTCCAAATAATATTATATAACATTCAAATGCAGTTCTAAAATCTTCAATATCCCTTAATCTGTTTAGAAGTCAGATAATCCTATTAATTTCTCTCATAATTTTGCTTACATAACATGGAAGGTGAAACGTTAGGAGAGAAAAAATAGAACTTCAATAGATATGTCAAGTGTTATGATACTATGTTAGATGTGTTTAAATTAGTGAATAATGAATATTTTCGCATCATGAGCCTTTTTGCTACACAGACTACCTGTGGAGTTCTATTAAATAACATCGTTCTACAGTTACATGTTTGTTAGTTAATTTCCTTTAGAAAATAAAACATATCACTATGATGTGGTATAGTAAAACAAATAATCATTCATAAGCAATTAGTCATTCATCTTATGAACAAACAATGTAAAATTAATACATACACTGTGTTATGAATCCATAGAGAGAATGTAAATTCAGTTTTGAAGAAAATATGTTCATATTTCCAAATATACTAGCATAGTAATCTTATGCAAATCTCATTATACAAAAAAATGTATGATCATAAAACAAGTTGACTATTACAAGTTAGCTTTTCTAATATATCGCATGATTGACAGTTGATGATTAAAAAGAAGTTTATAAACAAAGTTGCTTGGAAATAACCAAGAAACCAAACAGTATATGAAATTAAAAATCAACAGTTTTCTAAGAAATGACAATAACGAAACTTTACTATATATGGAGCAAGCTGCATAAGTGACAGTTGAAAATCATAGTGTGCTGGAAAACTTTTTCTCATTGTGAGACTCTATAAGCATGTACATCATTATTCTATTCCAAAATTTGGATCATGACACTTGGTTTATGTTCTTTTTATATATGTTCACTCAGTTCGCCATGTAAGAGTATGTTGGTTGCAATATGTAGTGGACCTTAAACGAGATAATTGAAAGACTTGATATTGATAATGTCTTGAGGAGAATATAGGACAATAAAATATGATAAATTAAAATAAACTCTCCCTTAAAGATCCCCCAGTAAACATACATATATATCATTACTATACAGTTGATTTCTTATCAGACCGTATCATTTTTGTCTACAGTTAACTCAAGCCGATAAAAGATCTTCCACTTTTAGAATACTATTTTCTAGCTAAGTGCTTGGTTGATCAGAAAAATAATGTCATTTGAACAACAACAAATTACTGTAATACCTATGACTCAGAAGCGCTAAGAGGTCTTTCATCACTCTCATAAGTGACCATCATGATGAGAAAATATCAAAGGAGAGAAACACAAAAGTTTCATCTACGAAATATTGTGTTAATTTTATTTCGGTTATTTATGTGCTCTGAAGAAGTGATTAGCATCAAGTCACGAAACGTCAGAAATACAATTTTCTACTCATTGGGACATCACAAAAATATATTTATCATTAACTTTCTACCTAATTCTAAATTTATTTGAAACTATCAAGTCCAACCACGGTAATGTATCCAGTTTACATGTGGAAATTGGGGATTTTAGTTAGATAAATGAAACATGTAATTTTATGAAATGTAGCCAGAAAAAACTTTGTGATCCAGAAAAATACCGTGATTGTATGTGGAAACAATATAATGTATTCATGACCTACTGAATTCAACATTGTTCATATCATGGAATTATAAAACCCAGGAATCATCACAACTCATAGCAGAATAAATGTAACTTTTGAAGACATCATAGAATGAAACTAACTTAATAAATTAGACAAAACAGTGAACAGCGAGCTATAAAATGATATAAAGAACCAACTACTTGACAAAGCTATAGTAACAAGCTTTATGATCTCTTATGTCACCAAGGAGTAGCAATGAATCTATACGTACAGTGAGGTCAACAGGATAATCACCGAAAACAAGATGGTGCTCAACAGCCACTTCATCACAGTTTATACTGTTAGTTGATATAAACCAATAACTTATCACAGGATACAACCAGTGAAGAAACGACTTGTCATTCAGAAAGATTCTGCCTTCAAACAATCACATAAATAAATGAGACTAGAATAATAAATTCGTATAACACTAAACAAAGAAGAGTCTCAATATGAATAAATCAATGATTACTCATCAAGTAAACTCCGAAAATTAAAATCATAAATCTAATATCTCTGAATAAAACTTATAATAACAAGAGATAGTTGTGACAATCTTGAGATAAATTCAAAGTAAGAGGGATAGACCTAAGAAGTAATTGTTAAGTTCACTCTTATTCACGAATAGTGAGATGATTGTGAAGATTTCTCCCACCACTGCCGTTTTAACCTTCAGATAATGTAAAATTCATATATAGCAATAATATTCTTAAAACCATTCATATATGAGAACTTATTGTAAGTAACCCTATATTTATAGCTTTGCGTCGACACTGGTCTCGATTCTGGTAGTGGGTGCATCACATTACACGAGTTACTAGTAATAAAACGTCAATATGATTCGAGACTAAGTGATACTTCCAAGACCGTAATCAAATAACTTCATGAAATCGGTTCCCTTAATAAACGTTTGTAAATCAAGAATGATGAACGTTGTGTAGTGAATTGAGTTCACTTCTTTTTGTGAACAATAAGTCATTCGCATACATACTGATTTGCGCATATAAATGAAATGTTTTATGGTTGTAATTTAATCTGTAACACGTAAAAAATTCATTTGGTTCACTAGTGAGAAGAACACATTGTAAATACTTTTCACTTTCATACAAGCTTAACACATAAATCAAAGGATTAAACCAAAATGAGATTATAACATAATCGGACATAAGAAACATGTCTAATTCAATATAATTACGATGGACAAAGTCGTGTAAGTGATAGTAATTACTAAAAACTACAATATTGGAGTAATTTTAATAATGATGATAATAAAATTATTAATGATAATACTATTTTTAGATGGCATGAAAAAAAGAGAAAGTAGTTGGATATCCAAATTGATAAGGGGTCAAATATTTTATTGAATAATGGTGAAATAATATGACTAATTTTAATAACTATTAGTTGAAAATGATATTAAAGCTGAACTAAAATGAACAATCCAAATGTTTTGATTAAATAAAGACGAGGCCAAGCAAATAAAACCGATAAGATGAAGGGAAGGGAAGCCCAACATTCAGTCGATCACCATGGCAGCGCCAGGTGAAACAAAAGTCCTTTCCTTATATGTAAATTGAGTTTTAGAGGACGAAAACCAGGCGATTTTTGATAGCTGAGTGTACAATTATATAATAATTTATAATTTTATTAGGTAACTTATACATTAATAGTATTTGAAATGATGTTCTTGCCTTTAAACAACGGTATTACACTGCAATTAAACTTGACTGAAAAATAACTTAGAATATGCTGAACAGCATTGAGCTCAATGAATGCTTTCTGGAAAAGAATAAATCTACATTACTCCGTATTCATTACGCGAGTCAGGCGAACAAAATAATGATTATCATCTTTCTAAAAAATACGAGGAGCGTTTACTAGCCCATTTTTCTCAATTATTTGTTTTGTTTTCGAGATATAAAAAACACTCATTGTATATCAGTATTTTAAAAAGTTGAAATTTACCAAACAGAATTAATATTGATGAAGAATTTGAGCGAAATAACAAAACTTGGGGGCATTGAACATAGCTATGTTGTTTTTCTAGATCGAATAGCATAAATAGTATAGAGCTGGATTTAGAAAGTTAACCAACATGAACGATCAAAGTATAAACTTGAAATTTATAGAACTGTTTTCATAAAAATAATAAACCTTTGTCTGGACTTTTCTTATTGAAGCCGAAAATTCTTGAGTTCGATTGCTTCCAAGGTACTGGCAAAATTAGACTTCCATAATACAGCTAAAAAGCTGTAGAGTGCAAAACAGGATGGTACAGCATCCAATAAGTGGTTGTAGAAGACCTTAGCAAATATAAATAACAGCAGCTAAACAGTTATACTTAAAAATCCCGAGTCTAGTTATCATGCTATATATTGAAACAATTCGATGTGGAATGTAAGTTGTAATCAACACAGGATTTCGAGCATACATATTGCTTCAGCTTACCTTACTATATAGGTACATCGAGATGAAATTCTTGAAATTGATTTTTAAAAACACAGAAAACTATGTGCTAGATCAGAAACCTGGGATATAAAGCAGAAACAAGTGAGTGCGCCTGAGCAATTCAAACCGATTCTATCTCCTAATATACAGAGTCTCAAAAGATTAGTTGCGGTAATTGCGTTAAACTCAGCCAGGCAATCTGCACATAACCAAAAGGCTCGGACGAAGAGTCAATAAATGCGCGGATCTATCAAACGTCCAGGTTTGGTAACATATGGGATTTTTAAGGCTTGTATGCATTATCAACTATATCGAATGTCCAGGAAGACGGAGGCTGGCAATAAAAACTAGACGTCCGAACTAAAATTGGACGAAGAATGACCACAGAATTATATGATATTAAAGCAGGTGGAAGGATACATAGAAGGATAATTAAGCAGCAAATAAATCTATAGGAAAGAAAAAACCATGAAGATCAGTAGCATGAAAAAAGAAGAAAAGTTTACAGAATATATCACAATAAGTCTCACAAACTGAACTCAGAATGATGACTAGCAGAACACATATTACATTATCATAGGAACAAATACCAATATATAGACTTTATAGTACTACAAATCAGCCTTTTTCTTAGGCGTTTCTTATCTTAAACTATAGTAGATCGACGTCCCGGAGGATGAACATTAGGTTTTTCCTATTAAAAGGTATACACCCTACGCCTAAAAGAAGTGACTACAGAACTGATTGGGCAGAAACTTAGTGGAAATATAAGAGAATCCTGGGTATTTCCATAAACCCATTTAATCTGCGGGGGAGCAAAAGGTTCAATACATCGTTTGAGAGTCCCGCTGGAATAGCTATTCCAACCGTTGAAACGTCACTACTAAAGCTACAGACTAACCAGCTAGCCCAGTAACTGTAACTTACATGACATATTTTTATTACATGGTCAAAGTTTTACATGGGCTACTGATATGCTAGACGTGTCACAACGATTCATGTTATCACTCGATATTTTTACCCATTATATTTAGTACTAATCATAAGGATTGGAGTTTCACACTTAAAGTAAATAACACGATAAATGATGATGTAAATTGACTCTAAATTTTAAGACAGAGCTTAGGTTGAACTACGATAGAATGGTACAACCAACGTTACTCAAGTACTGATTGTTTCACTAAGTCGTTTCAAATTTAATTTCTTTGTAAACACCATCAAAAATGTCATTAATCCTAGAATAAGTGGATCTAGTTTGCAGATGGATTACTACAATGAACAAATCAAATCAAAACCTAAGATGAATACATTTTTGCTACAATTCAATATGAAAATTCATATCATCATGGTGAGCAACAAGTAAGAAGAAAGTAGATATGGGGTTATTACATAATGACATCAGACGACATAAATTTATTTAGAGAATACACAAGTCAATGGATAATTCAGTTCAACATTTGTTTTGTTTTTAAAAAATTTCTAAACACCACGAGAAGTCAATCGATTCACATCAGAGTATAAATCTTTCAACTACAGTGATAAATGGAAAGGAAGAGATATCATGTGCGAATTAAATAACAGTAGATGCACTGAATGTTTGCCAGAGTATTTCTTCCTAGTTACACTGAACACTTTTTGAATATGATCACGTTAATATTCCCGAATTATATACAGCCCGGCGAGACGTTAAAATGGTTATCTCAGAGAAATATGTTTCGACACTTTTGGACATGTGAAAGTTTAAAGAGAACTCATAGCGATCATAGTTAGGGCATTTCATTTTAATATTTAGGTACTAATAGTTTTAATAGTAGGAACTACTTTTTAAATATCAGTATTACAATAACTGTTTCTGGTCAACAATATTTCAAATGAGATACAACTGGTTTTATTTTATTTGCTACGATATGACAATATCTCGCTTGAGAAACTGTCTGTCCAGCTGGTTTTTGACACCAAAATTTATTTAGATAGTATCGCGGCCAGTTGATCAGTGATTAGTCTATATCACTGTACAACAGTTTAAACGATGAGTTTACTAACTGTGCGTCTACACTGCTACGTATGTTAGATTCAGTTGAACTGAATTTATCAAAAATATGATAATTTGGGGTTTGAAAAGGCTTTGATAAATTTAGTAAGTAATTAGGTCAACTCAATATTGTTGCTTAAGTGACAAATCTTACAGGAATACAAGCTACGCTGAAGTGGAAGATTAAGGAATAAAGTTAATTTAACATTGAATGAAATTCAAAAATAAAACGTCGTTAGAAATAGTTGATAAAGGAAAAGAACATGTTTAACAAAAACTATTCCTTCAAAGAGTAAAGACAATAAAGAAAAAACTGAACTCTGAATGACGATTAGTAGAACCCGTACTACATTATCATAGAAACAAATACCAGCACATAGAGATCTGAAAATTGTTTCTGCCACTTCTACTTTTCGAACGATTACTACATGCAGTAATATTAAAGGTAGTTGTGAGAAACGTATATCCACAAATTCAGGACGAAGTAAAGTGGTACAATATAGAACTTTACAATCGAAAACCAATTATCAGCTACGCTAATTGGAAGATTAGTTTTGCAGGTCATTTAATAGGCAAAGACAAGTACGCATACTAATTTCAAAGACCAGTAACACTGTTGTCTATAGAGATGGCAAATTTTATAAAATATAAACTTCAAGATAGATGTTTCAAACCAACTTATGTTAACAACACATGAAGAATCAGAAAGATAATCTGGAAAATTACAGATCTAAATGATAGAATGTAGTTAGATAAAGCTTTGGATATAATTTAGAGAAGACTAACAAGCAGTGGCTACAGTTGTAAACAGTCAACAAAATATGCGTGACTAAGATTAAAGTGTTGGTTCGGAAATCCATCTCTCACCATACAAAATATTAGTAAATTATTTTTATATTGGCATAGTATAGTAGGACTAACAATAAAATGTGGCCTAATCTATATCTTTATGCTTTAATCGCAACGGATCTATTTTTAAATAAAAGCACAGCAGTACATTTGGTCCCTAGATAGAAGACATTGTATTCAGAATCATCACTAACAAAATCCACGCTAAAGTGAAACGGCTGAAGAAATCTTCCTAGTCTTAGTCCCTTACGATGGTCATGAATAATCCGTGAGTAAATAAGTGAAACCAAAGCTCAAAGTCCCTTGAAGGTATATAAATTTGAAAGCTGTATCAACATTGAAGCTATGCTATCAAACATACTCTAATTGTCCCATTGATGTTTTTGGACTGAAATTGATCAGTCTCTTATTGGCATATGTGCATACTGTGCGTATGCCTCGATATTGCCTTAATTTACAAGCATTGTAAGCAAAGATGGATAGTGGCTAGCAGTGGTTATTAGTACTCAGTAGCTAAGTGGATAACGCGATGGCGTTTGAAGCGAAGAGTACTGAGTTCGAGTCCCAGAGTGAACATCAACTCTGAGATGTAGGTACATCCAGCCGACGAGTCCCAGACAGGACGAAACGCGCGTCCTGGATTCCACTGCTAGCCACTATCCATCTTTGCTTACAATACTCTAATTGGTTCGTGTTACCTAATAGTGGGTAATGATTGTGAGTAACTCTAACATAAGTCAGAATAACAAGGCCACTGTGATGTCCTGCACTCAAAGAGTAAGAAACGGCAAGAATGTTTGTAGATCTCTCTGTCTCTACAGACCGGTAAACTTCTGCAAACTGTTTTGAAGACGTTAGATGCAAATGGCGGAAAACTAGAAATATCCAATGCTCATCAAAACACGAGATTGAAAGTTCTCTCCATGTGAATAGGTTTCTTGAGAACAGTAAACGTAGATGACGTGTTTCAAGCCAGATACTCAAACAAGTTTGTTTATTTTAAAATGATATTGACATGAGTTGGGTCAAACCCAGAAATTACTAGAATTCAAAAAAACCAAACATCTTGTTGGTCTTGCTTCTCGATATGACTGTGTAGCACCTTTAGTATTTACAGTGTCAAAATCAACATTTTTACCTTGATGTTTTGGAAAAATGAGCCTATATGCGATTAATTAAGACAACAGTTCACTGTCAATCTGTCAAGTGCATGCAAAATAGGCTCTGAAATACCGGTTAGAAGATATGAAATGCCATATCCTTTGAATCAAACCAGATCTACGCGTAGATTACGGAACGAGTGGTTAATGTAGGAGACATTTGTTTCATGATCAATACTGGTTGACCGAACCGTCCAAATGATACATTTATATGACCATGAAGGTACTCTGAATAATCTAGAGATGTTTCGATAGAATTTGATTTTGAGGAGCATCAGGTTTCATAATTCGGTCACTAAAACATGTGTGCAACGTTCCCCACCCACCAATTTAAATTCAGTTAATGAATTCCTCATACAGATCTATGATTACTGAATCTTATTGAACAGGTTAAGGACAACCTAATTACCTGCGTTGATGAATACAAAATTGGTAAGATAAAGTACAAAATTTATAACTAGAATGACCCGATGCTTGGACAAAATAGTGTTCACTCTTTTTGAGGCGTGGTACGTAGTCTACTATTCACGATGGTAAGGTAGTCATCTACAGGTATTGTATCGAGGACAAAAACCGACGATATAATTCAGATAAGGCAATTCATAGAAAAATTTGATATGCACACCATGGTCTCCTGAGGGAAAAAATTTAATCCACTTAAGAACAACATCCAGATATATTTGGTCTAGACGTGAAAAGCCATTTGTTTTACCAGAAATCGTCTAAGCGATGCTATGAAAGTGCTTCCTTTCGAAGCGTTGGTTAATGATCAGTTGCTATGATGTCTTTTACGAGTTACGGTTGTTGATCAAAACAACATGTTAAGGTTTCCTTGCAACTCATAAATAATGATTTTTAAATAGTAACCTCGTGAAAAAGCTTCACAACTTACGTGGTACGCAGACAGCTCAAACTTGATAACTAGTCAAAGTATTAATGAAACGAGAAGTTTGTTAACTCAAAATATCAAACTTACGAGGTGACTTCTCACAGGCCAAACAATGTCCGTTTATAATGTCGTCCAACGAATATGGGATTTCAGTAAGTTTTTCTTGTTGTAAGTTTAAACCAGAGCCTGATAGTTTTAGGTGCTCGGCACATCTTAACACATATTCCGGAAGTTTAGTTGTCCATAAATCATGGACAGTGAATCCTGCCTTTGCAGGAGCTATCCAGGCTTGCTTTTTGTCTGCGAACCTAGTCACTCGAAATCTTGACTGTGGAGATAAAGCTTTAAGATCATCCTCCGTAAGTTCTACCGGAGTCGGAGACATTTCAGCGTTTTCAGAGCGTTTTAGGAGAGATTTAGACGAGCCTCTTAGTGGTCGCTTTTTGAGTTCTGCATCGCTTTTCATATGCTTCAATCTCTTTCTAGGTAATTTTTTAGACATGGTGACACTTTTCGACTTCTTTGTTTCAAGACTGGCTGATGTTGAAATAGGAGGATGACTCCCCTGGAAATGTTTCTCAGAAGTTGGTGAAATCTTATTTTCTGCGTTGATTTTTTCATGCCGAACGCTTAACAATACAAACCCTGGTCTCGTACGACCTCGTATACTCTCAACTATGTCATTGCTTGGCTCAGAAGGGAAATCCAGAGAACCTCTCCGTATACAGTGATCTATGTCCTTCATCGTAAATGTTTGAGCAGTTGGTCCACCTGGGGACGCATCAGGCACGGCTTGGCTGGCTGGGAATGTATCTTCCGTAGAATTATCTTGTTGAACAGAAAATGGATATAAGACGATGGGTTGACTCGAGTATGCTACGGTAACTGGACTTCCTTGGGTCGGATTACTGATTTCGTCATTTGGAGTTATGTGTAAAGACAAACCACTTTCGCCCTCAAACTTGGCTTTAACAGGGACCAAAAATGTCGACATATCCGAGTTTTCGTTATTTACGGTTGAAACTGGGTTGGAACTTGCATCAAAGTCAGAGTTTTTGACAAAACATGGCAGTAATTTAGGGTTTTGAGACTCATTATTGGAGTCTTTAGTTAGTATTAGTGTGTCTTTAATTGAGTTATAATGTTCGGCAAGCTGCAACTCAATTAACTTTTGAAGCAACAGGAGTTGAAGATGTTTTTGAGCATTTGTGTCCACGTTGCTCGAACTCTGGCTCTGCATACTGTAAGGAACATCATTGATATGATTTTGCATACTCGGAATGTTTATCTGGTTAAATTCAGCATCATTTGAACTTACTTCTGAGTTTGGAAAAATGAAGCCATGGCATATTGGATGACTGTAACTCTGTGTATCACCGCCTACAGTCTCATTGGAGGCACATGCACGTTGTAGCGACAAAGGCACATTTGTGGGATTTAATGGCATATATATCACATCATTTGTTGGAATAAGCAAATTAGGTGAAGATTCAAGGGGATATGCATTGAAAGCTGGTTGTCGAGAGGAACCACTTGGACCTTCTTTAGCAGAATCCACACTTGGTTTGCGAATATCGAAGCTATTTAAGCATGAGTTTTGCGAAGAGGCTGTCATCACAAGATCAAAGTGAAATCCAATGACGTGTTTCAAAGTTTCGCAAGATTCCGTATTGATTGGATTTACTTGAACAAACAAGCTTTCCCGATCGTAAGTCCAATCAACCCAGTTGGAAGTTATAGAAGCTTCTCTTAACACGCTTCATTTCTTATTGAAAGTAACAACCGGCATGACGGTGTGAACTGTATGCCTATATATATTATTTCATGCTTTGCTTACTCTATCTGGGTTTCAATGGACTGTTGACGTATGTTGTGTTATTCTTCTGTCCAGCAATGAGTAAAACGACTTTCACCACCCAGTTTATATATAGACTCATTCAATTCACATATATGTAATATCCAAAACGTGGTCATTTTTTAATGGGTAAATTTATCCGCAACGCAACCATGTGAATTTAATGTATCGCCCAGGGTTATTTGTGCGTTTAAGCAACCACAAATTTCGTCATTTCATAATGTATTTTAATTAAATAACTAGATTATGTTGTTATTTTTGCTTTGATTTTAATTTTAATTCGCCACGTTTGACTGCGTTACACTGTACGTTCATTGCACTCTGGGATGAAATACCAAGTCATAGTGAGTTTCATCACATAGTTGATTGTTTCCAGATAGACCATGAGTGCATAATGTTACTGAAGAAAGGTTTGTTGTACTGTCAACTATGTTTCTATGAACAGCTGGCTGTTGTCTTCAGTCGGAACGCAATATATTGTAGCGGTAAATAAATCCCCAAAATAAATAGCCCTGTAAGTTTTCGACATTGGATCCTGACCATATGTTTTAGTGGACTCATCTAGCTGAAGGTGCTCGGTCAGGCATCCGCACCAGATCACGTGTGGTAACGCCGTGCTCAACATTAACCGCAATCGCTAGCCAGATTAGATCGGAGAATTCCGATATTTTGGTTATCGCCAAATACACTCTTCCGATCTCCTCGACTCTGTCTTTTGATTTCTGTGGGTGGTTACGAATTATATTAGAAGGTGTTACTGGTAGAAGCGTTGTCAAACACTGAATACCTGTGCCATCTTCAATATATAACCTTTGTCTTCTGTTAGGTTAGTTCGACTGGCCTATATTTCGTGTTTTGGTTTTATCGGCTGAATTATGACCATTTAACTGCTTTGAGCAACATGTCTATGCAAATGAAACAATAACAATGACACTAGCTTAATTTAGTATTCTTGGTTGTCGTATAATTCAGTTTAGTTGAAAGAATTATGGTATTCTTAAGTATATTGCTTGAAGCCTGTAACGAGACAGATCAGTTTAGTAAGTAGAGTTGCCTGTTTCTGATGAGTATATTGATTCAAATCAGTCTGATTAAACATAGGAAAAAACGTGCCTTTGATGCTGTTGCTGTCATACATTATAAGATGGCGATAAATATGTTTGTTGTTTATTTCTTGACTGTACATCTATCACTGACCATATTTCATAATCACCGTCATTAAACAGTTTCCCCGGCAATAACATCGGTAGCAAGATAGCTAAGCGTCTGAGCTTTTAGTTGCCCGCAAAACAGCAGTATACAGTCTTAGGAGATGAGTGTTCTGTGTCTCAGTTAAATGCAGCTGGCTGTGGATAAATGTTAAGAATCTTTTTGACAACTGGGACTTTTAGTTTATCAGACACTAACTCTGCTTGTATGTTTTCCTGTTAAACTAGATGCAGATGCATGGGAATACTTAAATGGGAGCAAAATAATAAAAGCATTGAGATACGGTACTAAGCCCATGTTATGCTTTGCACAAGTAATAGTAGCTGACCCGATCTAATATTCATGAACTCAAGGTAAATCACAACTGCATAAATCCTTTGCTAAAAACATTTCATCTGGTTATTTATCTAATCCACATTTCTTACTATTTTCATCACTATTTTTTCATTTAGAATGCAACAGGAGTGAGCCTTCACAGATCCTAAGATCTGTTTCGCCCTTAGAACTATGACCCTATGGAGCTGTTTACGGGAGATCCAACTAACAGCAGATTATAAAAAGGATGCTGGAAGTCCATTTTAGTCTCACAACCACTTCCAGTACTTTTTGAGTTACTTATTTTACCCTTTCGTTTGGAAAAAACAACAAAGACTACAGCTTATCATTACCTATGCAACTTTTAAACTGGGACTTCGTTTAAACCCTTGTTTGATATTCGATTCTTAATGAAAGTTCCTGAATAAATTTTCAAATCTAATGCCACTTTGTTTTATCTACTTAATCGTTGCAAGGAACTGGTGATACACGAGCCACTCAGCACCTAGTTCATGTGTTCAAATGGTTGTGGACGCAATAGAAGAAGATTTCGCTTAACAGGCTTCCGTGTCTAGTACCAGGTGATCAGGAATAACTCCAGGCAGGCAGGTCTGTAGTGACGGTTGAAGGGCAGCCGAAGTTTGCTACTCATCGTTCGACGAAGGTGCGGGTCACTGTTTCAGCAGTGATGTCCTTGATAGGTACTGCTTCTGGCCATCGAGTGAAACGGTCTACGCAGGTTAAAAGGTAAGAGTATCCATTTGAATCTGGTAAAGGTCCTACCAAATCCAGATGAACATGGTCGAAACGAGCATCGGGAGTTTCAAAAGAGCCTAAGGGACATTTATTGTGTCTGATGACCTTAGATTTTTGGCAGCTTACACAAGAGCGTGCCCACTCCCTCACGTCTTTATTCATTCCAGGTCAGCAAAACCGTTCTGCTATAAGCTTGATGGTTGCACGTACACCTGAATGAGAAAGTTTGTGCAATGTATTGAAGACGTTGCGTCGATAACTTTTCGGTACGATTGGGCGATCCCTACCTGTAGATGTGTCACACAGTAAGGTTTCCTTACCTGTTCCCACCTGTTTGATGCGTAGTTTAAGGGTTGTAGACGATAACTCGTGCTGAAGATCAGTGTCTTCTTTTTGAAGCTCGGCGAGTTTAAGAAGGTCGATTCCTTGACAAATTGTTCAAGGAAGTTATGCGAGATAAGGCGTCTGCAACCACATTGTTTGCTCCAGAAATATGTTGAATATCTGAAGTAAACTGCGAAATGTAGTCAAGTTGTCGAGACTCACGGGGAGAGTACTTGTCAGAAGGAGAGCTTAACGAAAAAGTGAGCGGTTTATGGTCCGTGAAAAGAGTGAATTCACGGCCTTCGATATAGTGTTGGAAATACCATACAGCACAATACATAGCTAGGAGTTCCCTACCGAATGTGCTGTACCTCGATTCGGTGTCTAGCAACCTTCTAGAGAAAAATGCCAATGGTTGCCAGGAGTTGTTAACCCATTGTTGTAAGACGCCATCGATTGCCGAGTCCGATGCGTCTACTGCGATACTGATGGGTGCATCGGTGTCCTGATGTGCGAGCATTTTTGCTTTAGCGATCAGTTCCTTAACTGTGGAGAATGCTTTTCGTGCGGTGTCGTCCAAATTAATGGATTTCGCATTTCCACGAAGTTGGTCGGTTAGCGGTTTCATGAGTAATGCGCATTTCGGTAGGAAACGTCTATAGAAACTTACCAGGCCGTTAAACGTGCGTAATTGCTTGACGGTGGTCGGTTCTGGGTAATCCAGAATGGCCGCCACTTTGGTTCTAAGGGGTCGAATGCCTTGAGCATCGATAGTGTGTCCTGGGAAGTCCAACGAGTCGGTTCCAATTAGGCATTTCTGAACGTTTACAGTAATGCCATGTTTTTGTAGTCGTTCGAAAAGAAGATCCAGATGCTTGAGATGTGATTCTCTGTCCGGACTTGCGATTAGACAGTCGTCAACATACGCATGTACGAAGTTGAGGCCTCGAAAAACGTCGTCTATGAATCTTTGGAATGTTTGAGCAGCGTTCCTTAAACCGAAAGGCATTTGCAAAAATTCATAGGGTTTGAAGGGAGTTATGATAGCTGTTTTCGGTATGTCGTCAGTGGCCGTAGGGGTTTGGTTATACGCTTTAACCAAGTCGATTTTCGAAAAGACAGTTGTACCTTTCAAGGTAGCTATCGAATCGTGAATGGGAGGCAACGGGTAACGATCGGGAATGGTTTTCGCGTTCAATCGCCGATAGTCACCAGTTGGACGCCAATCGTTGCTGTCCTTTTTAGGGACCATGTGCAACGGAGATGCATATGCGCTATTTGACGGTCGTATGATTCCTAAGTCTATCATATGGTCGAATTCGTTTTTCGCTAACCTTAGCTTTTCAGGAGCTAGTCGTTGTGCTTTAGAGAATACAGGTGGTCCTGTAGTCGTGATGTGATGTGTAACGTTGCTGGTTACACACGGTAATTTCAGTTACGTCTGACGAATCCCAGGATACTTATCGAGTAGCGGTTGATAAAGTGGGTCTATCGCATGCTCAATTGTGACTGGGGATAATCTGCAACCAGAAAAGGAAGTTACGCAAACGGATAAATTAGTGTTTCCGTATATTAGCCTCCGTTTGCGAGTATCGATGCTTAGATTATGGTGTCGTACATTTTGCCATATTTAGCGATAGGTTTTCCGTTTCCCGCCTGTAAGTTTAAAGCCGATTCGTTAAGCCGGTGGTTGGGATTCGCTGGGAGAACGCTAACTTCTGCGCCAGTATCGACGAGGTAGCGAACTCTCGTTGTCACATCTGTGACGTACAACAGACGTCTATGTTCGCCGACTACGGTTGCCGTTAACGCTTGCCGGCTTGGAAGTTTCCCGACTTGTTTTTCGAGTCAGTCGGTTTCGTGTTGAGAAAATTGCAGGGTTTTCTGCAATTTCTGGAAAACTTTCCATACTGGTTACGATACCAGCACCAGTCGGGGTTATCCGTCTCTCGTGATCTAGAGACAGATCGCTTACATGAAATGCTTCTACGCGGGGTGTGTGGGCTCTTACGGTCGGTACGAAGATTAAGATAGCGCGTGAGTGTATGACATAACTGGGTTGTCATTCTGAGTCGTTTGAGGCTCTTCTTTGACTGAAAAACCTCTGTCATAGAAGATTTTGTAATCTCTAAGATATGATCGGCAGATGCAGCCAGTTCGTCTAAGGCGTTGTTCTGAAACAACATAATCTAGTTATTTAATTAAAATACATTATGAAATGACGAAATTTGTGGTTGCTTAAACGCACAAATAACCCTGGGCGATACATTAAATTCACATGGTTGCGTTGCGGATAAATTTACCCATTAAAAAATGACCACGTTTTGGATATTACATATATGTGAATTGAATGAGTCTATATATAAACTGGGTGGTGAAAGTCGTTTTACTCATTGCTGGACAGAAGAATAACACAACATACGTCAACAGTCCATTGAAACCCAGATAGAGTAAGCAAAGCATGAAATAATATATATAGGCATACAGTTCACACCGTCATGCCGGTTGTTACTTTCAATAAGAAATGAAGCGTGTTAAGAGAAGCTTCTATAACTTCCAACTGGGTTGATTGGACTTACGATCGGGAAAGCTTGTTTGTTCAAGTAAATCCAATCAATACGGAATCTTGCGAAACTTTGAAACACGTCATTGGATTTCACTTTGATCTTGTGATGACAGCCTCTTCGCAAAACTCATGCTTAAATAGCTTCGATATTCGCAAACCAAGTGTGGATTCTGCTAAAGAAGGTCCAAGTGGTTCCTCTCGACAACCAGCTTTCAATGCATATCCCCTTGAATCTTCACCTAATTTGCTTATTCCAACAAATGATGTGATATATATGCCATTAAATCCCACAAATGTGCCTTTGTCGCTACAACGTGCATGTGCCTCCAATGAGACTGTAGGCGGTGATACACAGAGTTACAGTCATCCAATATGCCATGGCTTCATTTTTCCAAACTCAGAAGTAAGTTCAAATGATGCTGAATTTAACCAGATAAACATTCCGAGTATGCAAAATCATATCAATGATGTTCCTTACAGTATGCAGAGCCAGAGTTCGAGCAACGTGGACACAAATGCTCAAAAACATCTTCAACTCCTGTTGCTTCAAAAGTTAATTGAGTTGCAGCTTGCCGAACATTATAACTCAATTAAAGACACACTAATACTAACTAAAGACTCCAATAATGAGTCTCAAAACCCTAAATTACTGCCATGTTTTGTCAAAAACTCTGACTTTGATGCAAGTTCCAACCCAGTTTCAACCGTAAATAACGAAAACTCGGATATGTCGACATTTTTGGTCCCTGTTAAAGCCAAGTTTGAGGGCGAAAGTGGTTTGTCTTTACACATAACTCCAAATGACGAAATCAGTAATCCGACCCAAGGAAGTCCAGTTACCGTAGCATACTCGAGTCAACCCATCGTCTTATATCCATTTTCTGTTCAACAAGATAATTCTACGGAAGATACATTCCCAGCCAGCCAAGCCGTGCCTGATGCGTCCCCAGGTGGACCAACTGCTCAAACATTTACGATGAAGGACATAGATCACTGTATACGGAGAGGTTCTCTGGATTTCCCTTCTGAGCCAAGCAATGACATAGTTGAGAGTATACGAGGTCGTACGAGACCAGGGTTTGTATTGTTAAGCGTTCGGCATGAAAAAATCAACGCAGAAAATAAGATTTCACCAACTTCTGAGAAACATTTCCAGGGGAGTCATCCTCCTATTTCAACATCAGCCAGTCTTGAAACAAAGAAGTCGAAAAGTGTCACCATGTCTAAAAAATTACCTAGAAAGAGATTGAAGCATATGAAAAGCGATGCAGAACTCAAAAAGCGACCACTAAGAGGCTCGTCTAAATCTCTCCTAAAACGCTCTGAAAACGCTGAAATGTCTCCGACTCCGGTAGAACTTACGGAGGATGATCTTAAAGCTTTATCTCCACAGTCAAGATTTCGAGTGACTAGGTTCGCAGACAAAAAGCAAGCCTGGATAGCTCCTGCAAAGGCAGGATTCACTGTCCATGATTTATGGACAACTAAACTTCCGGAATATGTGTTAAGATGTGCCGAGCACCTAAAACTATCAGGCTCTGGTTTAAACTTACAACAAGAAAAACTTACTGAAATCCCATATTCGTTGGACGACATTATAAACGGACATTGTTTGGCCTGTGAGAAGTCACCTCGTAAGTTTGATATTTTGAGTTAACAAACTTCTCGTTTCATTAATACTTTGACTAGTTATCAAGTTTGAGCTGTCTGCGTACCACGTAAGTTGTGAAGCTTTTTCACGAGGTTACTATTTAAAAATCATTATTTATGAGTTGCAAGGAAACCTTAACATGTTGTTTTGATCAACAACCGTAACTCGTAAAAGACATCATAGCAACTGATCATTAACCAACGCTTCGAAAGGAAGCACTTTCATAGCATCGCTTAGACGATTTCTGGTAAAACAAATGGCTTTTCACGTCTAGACCAAATATATCTGGATGTTGTTCTTAAGTGGATTAAATTTTTTCCCTCAGGAGACCATGGTGTGCATATCAAATTTTTCTATGAATTGCCTTATCTGAATTATATCGTCGGTTTTTGTCCTCGATACAATACCTGTAGATGACTACCTTACCATCGTGAATAGTAGACTACGTACCACGCCTCAAAAAGAGTGAACACTATTTTGTCCAAGCATCGGGTCATTCTAGTTATAAATTTTGTACTTTATCTTACCAATTTTGTATTCATCAACGCAGGTAATTAGGTTGTCCTTAACCTGTTCAATAAGATTCAGTAATCATAGATCTGTATGAGGAATTCATTAACTGAATTTAAATTGGTGGGTGGGGAACGTTGCACACATGTTTTAGTGACCGAATTATGAAACCTGATGCTCCTCAAAATCAAATTCTATCGAAACATCTCTAGATTATTCAGAGTACCTTCATGGTCATATAAATGTATCATTTGGACGGTTCGGTCAACCAGTATTGATCATGAAACAAATGTCTCCTACATTAACCACTCGTTCCGTAATCTACGCGTAGATCTGGTTTGATTCAAAGGATATGGCATTTCATATCTTCTAACCGGTATTTCAGAGCCTATTTTGCATGCACTTGACAGATTGACAGTGAACTGTTGTCTTAATTAATCGCATATAGGCTCATTTTTCCAAAACATCAAGGTAAAAATGTTGATTTTGACACTGTAAATACTAAAGGTGCTACACAGTCATATCGAGAAGCAAGACCAACAAGATGTTTGGTTTTTTTGAATTCTAGTAATTTCTGGGTTTGACCCAACTCATGTCAATATCATTTTAAAATAAACAAACTTGTTTGAGTATCTGGCTTGAAACACGTCATCTACGTTTACTGTTCTCAAGAAACCTATTCACATGGAGAGAACTTTCAATCTCGTGTTTTGATGAGCATTGGATATTTCTAGTTTTCCGCCATTTGCATCTAACGTCTTTAAAACAGTTTGCAGAAGTTTACCGGTCTGTAGAGACAGAGAGAGCTACAAACATTCTTGCCGTTTCTTACTCTTTGAGTGCAGGACATCACAGTGGCCTTGTTATTCTGACTTATGTTAGAGTTACTCACAATCATTACCCACTATTAGGTAACACGAACCAATTAGAGTATTGTAAGCAAAGATGGATAGTGGCTAGCAGTGGAATCCAGGACGCGCGTTTCGTCCTGTTTGGGACTCGTCAGCTGGATGTACCTGCCCCCTATCCATCTTTGCTTACAATGCTTGTAAATTAAGGCAATATCGAGGCATACGCACAGTATGCACATATGCCAATAAGAGACTGATCAATTTCAGTCCAAAAACATCAATGGGAAGATTCAAATAAAACAATATCCAATTAGAGTATGTTTGATAGCATAGCTTCAATGTTGATACAGCTTTCAAATTTATATACCTTCAAGGGACTTTGAGCTTTGGTTTCACTTATTTACTCACGGATTATTCATGACCATCGTAAGGGACTAAGACTAGGAAGATTTCTTCAGCCGTTTCACTTTAGCGTGGATTTTGTTAGTGATGATTCTGAATACAATGTCTTCTATCTAGGGACCAAATGTACTGCTGTGCTTTTATTTAAAAATAGATCCGTTGCGATTAAAGCATAAAGATATAGATTAGGCCACATTTTATTGTTAGTCCTACTATACTATGCCAATATAAAAATAATTTACTAATATTTTGTATGGTGAGAGATGGATTTCCGAACCAACACTTTAATCTTAGTCACGCATATTTTGTTGACTGTTTACAACTGTAGCCACTGCTTGTTAGTCTTCTCTAAATTATATCCAAAGCTTTATCTAACTACATTCTATCATTTAGATCTGTAATTTTCCAGATTATCTTTCTGATTCTTCATGTGTTGTTAACATAAGTTGGTTTGAAACATCTATCTTGAAGTTTATATTTTATAAAATTTGCCATCTCTATAGACAACAGTGTTACTGGTCTTTGAAATTAGTATGCGTACTTGTCTTTGCCTATTAAATGACCTGCAAAACTAATCTTCCAATTAGCGTAGCTGATAATTGGTTTTCGATTGTAAAGTTCTATATTGTACCACTTTACTTCGTCCTGAATTTGTGGATATACGTTTCTCACAACTACCTTTAATATTACTGCATGTAGTAATCGTTCGAAAAGTAGAAGTGGCAGAAACAATTTTCAGATCTCTATGTGCTGGTATTTGTTTCTATGATAATGTAGTACGGGTTCTACTAATCGTCATTCAGAGTTCAGTTTTTTCTTTATTGTCTTTACTCTTTGAAGGAATAGTTTTTGTTAAACATGTTCTTTTCCTTTATCAACTATTTCTAACGACGTTTTATTTTTGAATTTCATTCAATGTTAAATTAACTTTATTCCTTAATCTTCCACTTCAGCGTAGCTTGTATTCCTGTAAGATTTGTCACTTAAGCAACAATATTGAGTTGACCTAATTACTTACTAAATTTATCAAAGCCTTTTCAAACCCCAAATTATCATATTTTGATAAATTCAGTTCAACTGAATCTAACATACGTAGCAGTGTAGACGCACAGTTAGTAAACTCATCGTTTAAACTGTTGTACAGTGATATAGACTAATCACTGATCAACTGGCCGCGATACTATCTAAATAAATTTTGGTGTCAAAAACCAGCTGGACAGACAGTTTCTCAAGCGAGATATTGTCATATCGTAGCAAATAAAATAAAACCAGTTGTATCTCATTTGAAATATTGTTGACCAGAAACAGTTATTGTAATACTGATATTTAAAAAGTAGTTCCTACTATTAAAACTATTAGTACCTAAATATTAAAATGAAATGCCCTAACTATGATCGCTATGAGTTCTCTTTAAACTTTCACATGTCCAAAAGTGTCGAAACATATTTCTCTGAGATAACCATTTTAACGTCTCGCCGGGCTGTATATAATTCGGGAATATTAACGTGATCATATTCAAAAAGTGTTCAGTGTAACTAGGAAGAAATACTCTGGCAAACATTCAGTGCATCTACTGTTATTTAATTCGCACATGATATCTCTTCCTTTCCATTTATCACTGTAGTTGAAAGATTTATACTCTGATGTGAATCGATTGACTTCTCGTGGTGTTTAGAAATTTTTTAAAAACAAAACAAATGTTGAACTGAATTATCCATTGACTTGTGTATTCTCTAAATAAATTTATGTCGTCTGATGTCATTATGTAATAACCCCATATCTACTTTCTTCTTACTTGTTGCTCACCATGATGATATGAATTTTCATATTGAATTGTAGCAAAAATGTATTCATCTTAGGTTTTGATTTGATTTGTTCATTGTAGTAATCCATCTGCAAACTAGATCCACTTATTCTAGGATTAATGACATTTTTGATGGTGTTTACAAAGAAATTAAATTTGAAACGACTTAGTGAAACAATCAGTACTTGAGTAACGTTGGTTGTACCATTCTATCGTAGTTCAACCTAAGCTCTGTCTTAAAATTTAGAGTCAATTTACATCATCATTTATCGTGTTATTTACTTTAAGTGTGAAACTCCAATCCTTATGATTAGTACTAAATATAATGGGTAAAAATATCGAGTGATAACATGAATCGTTGTGACACGTCTAGCATATCAGTAGCCCATGTAAAACTTTGACCATGTAATAAAAATATGTCATGTAAGTTACAGTTACTGGGCTAGCTGGTTAGTCTGTAGCTTTAGTAGTGACGTTTCAACGGTTGGAATAGCTATTCCAGCGGGACTCTCAAACGATGTATTGAACCTTTTGCTCCCCCGCAGATTAAATGGGTTTATGGAAATACCCAGGATTCTCTTATATTTCCACTAAGTTTCTGCCCAATCAGTTCTGTAGTCACTTCTTTTAGGCGTAGGGTGTATACCTTTTAATAGGAAAAACCTAATGTTCATCCTCCGGGACGTCGATCTACTATAGTTTAAGATAAGAAACGCCTAAGAAAAAGGCTGATTTGTAGTACTATAAAGTCTATATATTGGTATTTGTTCCTATGATAATGTAATATGTGTTCTGCTAGTCATCATTCTGAGTTCAGTTTGTGAGACTTATTGTGATATATTCTGTAAACTTTTCTTCTTTTTTCATGCTACTGATCTTCATGGTTTTTTCTTTCCTATAGATTTATTTGCTGCTTAATTATCCTTCTATGTATCCTTCCACCTGCTTTAATATCATATAATTCTGTGGTCATTCTTCGTCCAATTTTAGTTCGGACGTCTAGTTTTTATTGCCAGCCTCCGTCTTCCTGGACATTCGATATAGTTGATAATGCATACAAGCCTTAAAAATCCCATATGTTACCAAACCTGGACGCTTGATAGATCCGCGCATTTATTGACTCTTCGTCCGAGCCTTTTGGTTATGTGCAGATTGCCTGGCTGAGTTTAACGCAATTACCGCAACTAATCTTTTGAGACTCTGTATATTAGGAGATAGAATCGGTTTGAATTGCTCAGGCGCACTCACTTGTTTCTGCTTTATATCCCAGGTTTCTGATCTAGCACATAGTTTTCTGTGTTTTTAAAAATCAATTTCAAGAATTTCATCTCGATGTACCTATATAGTAAGGTAAGCTGAAGCAATATGTATGCTCGAAATCCTGTGTTGATTACAACTTACATTCCACATCGAATTGTTTCAATATATAGCATGATAACTAGACTCGGGATTTTTAAGTATAACTGTTTAGCTGCTGTTATTTATATTTGCTAAGGTCTTCTACAACCACTTATTGGATGCTGTACCATCCTGTTTTGCACTCTACAGCTTTTTAGCTGTATTATGGAAGTCTAATTTTGCCAGTACCTTGGAAGCAATCGAACTCAAGAATTTTCGGCTTCAATAAGAAAAGTCCAGACAAAGGTTTATTATTTTTATGAAAACAGTTCTATAAATTTCAAGTTTATACTTTGATCGTTCATGTTGGTTAACTTTCTAAATCCAGCTCTATACTATTTATGCTATTCGATCTAGAAAAACAACATAGCTATGTTCAATGCCCCCAAGTTTTGTTATTTCGCTCAAATTCTTCATCAATATTAATTCTGTTTGGTAAATTTCAACTTTTTAAAATACTGATATACAATGAGTGTTTTTTATATCTCGAAAACAAAACAAATAATTGAGAAAAATGGGCTAGTAAACGCTCCTCGTATTTTTTAGAAAGATGATAATCATTATTTTGTTCGCCTGACTCGCGTAATGAATACGGAGTAATGTAGATTTATTCTTTTCCAGAAAGCATTCATTGAGCTCAATGCTGTTCAGCATATTCTAAGTTATTTTTCAGTCAAGTTTAATTGCAGTGTAATACCGTTGTTTAAAGGCAAGAACATCATTTCAAATACTATTAATGTATAAGTTACCTAATAAAATTATAAATTATTATATAATTGTACACTCAGCTATCAAAAATCGCCTGGTTTTCGTCCTCTAAAACTCAATTTACATATAAGGAAAGGACTTTTGTTTCACCTGGCGCTGCCATGGTGATCGACTGAATGTTGGGCTTCCCTTCCCTTCATCTTATCGGTTTTATTTGCTTGGCCTCGTCTTTATTTAATCAAAACATTTGGATTGTTCATTTTAGTTCAGCTTTAATATCATTTTCAACTAATAGTTATTAAAATTAGTCATATTATTTCACCATTATTCAATAAAATATTTGACCCCTTATCAATTTGGATATCCAACTACTTTCTCTTTTTTCATGCCATCTAAAAATAGTATTATCATTAATAATTTTATTATCATCATTATTAAAATTACTCCAATATTGTAGTTTTTAGTAATTACTATCACTTACACGACTTTGTCCATCGTAATTATATTGAATTAGACATGTTTCTTATGTCCGATTATGTTATAATCTCATTTTGGTTTAATCCTTTGATTTATGTGTTAAGCTTGTATGAAAGTGAAAAGTATTTACAATGTGTTCTTCTCACTAGTGAACCAAATGAATTTTTTACGTGTTACAGATTAAATTACAACCATAAAACATTTCATTTATATGCGCAAATCAGTATGTATGTGAATGACTTATTGTTCACAAAAAGAAGTGAACTCAATTCACTACACAACGTTCATCATTCTTGATTTACAAACGTTTATTAAGGGAACCGATTTCATGAAGTTATTTGATTACGGTCTTGGAAGTATCACTTAGTCTCGAATCATATTGACGTTTTATTACTAGTAACTCGTGTAATGTGATGCACCCACTACCAGAATCGAGACCAGTGTCGACGCAAAGCTATAAATATAGGGTTACTTACAATAAGTTCTCATATATGAATGGTTTTAAGAATATTATTGCTATATATGAATTTTACATTATCTGAAGGTTAAAACGGCAGTGGTGGGAGAAATCTTCACAATCATCTCACTATTCGTGAATAAGAGTGAACTTAACAATTACTTCTTAGGTCTATCCCTCTTACTTTGAATTTATCTCAAGATTGTCACAACTATCTCTTGTTATTATAAGTTTTATTCAGAGATATTAGATTTATGATTTTAATTTTCGGAGTTTACTTGATGAGTAATCATTGATTTATTCATATTGAGACTCTTCTTTGTTTAGTGTTATACGAATTTATTATTCTAGTCTCATTTATTTATGTGATTGTTTGTAGGTAGAATCTTTCTGAATGACAAGTCGTTTCTTCACTGGTTGTATCCTGTGATAAGTTATTGGTTTATATCAACTAACAGTATAAACTGTGATGAAGTGGCTGTTGAGCACCATCTTGTTTTCGGTGATTATCCTGTTGACCTCACTGTACGTATAGATTCATTGCTACTCCTTGGTGACATAAGAGATCATAAAGCTTGTTACTATAGCTTTGTCAAGTAGTTGGTTCTTTATATCATTTTATAGCTCGCTGTTCACTGTTTTGTCTAATTTATTAAGTTAGTTTCATTCTATGATGTCTTCAAAAGTTACATTTATTCTGCTATGAGTTGTGATGATTCCTGGGTTTTATAATTCCATGATATGAACAATGTTGAATTCAGTAGGTCATGAATACATTATATTGTTTCCACATACAATCACGGTATTTTTCTGGATCACAAAGTTTTTTCTGGCTACATTTCATAAAATTACATGTTTCATTTATCTAACTAAAATCCCCAATTTCCACATGTAAACTGGATACATTACCGTGGTTGGACTTGATAGTTTCAAATAAATTTAGAATTAGGTAGAAAGTTAATGATAAATATATTTTTGTGATGTCCCAATGAGTAGAAAATTGTATTTCTGACGTTTCGTGACTTGATGCTAATCACTTCTTCAGAGCACATAAATAACCGAAATAAAATTAACACAATATTTCGTAGATGAAACTTTTGTGTTTCTCTCCTTTGATATTTTCTCATCATGATGGTCACTTATGAGAGTGATGAAAGACCTCTTAGCGCTTCTGAGTCATAGGTATTACAGTAATTTGTTGTTGTTCAAATGACATTATTTTTCTGATCAACCAAGCACTTAGCTAGAAAATAGTATTCTAAAAGTGGAAGATCTTTTATCGGCTTGAGTTAACTGTAGACAAAAATGATACGGTCTGATAAGAAATCAACTGTATAGTAATGATATATATGTATGTTTACTGGGGGATCTTTAAGGGAGAGTTTATTTTAATTTATCATATTTTATTGTCCTATATTCTCCTCAAGACATTATCAATATCAAGTCTTTCAATTATCTCGTTTAAGGTCCACTACATATTGCAACCAACATACTCTTACATGGCGAACTGAGTGAACATATATAAAAAGAACATAAACCAAGTGTCATGATCCAAATTTTGGAATAGAATAATGATGTACATGCTTATAGAGTCTCACAATGAGAAAAAGTTTTCCAGCACACTATGATTTTCAACTGTCACTTATGCAACTTGCTCCATATGACTCAAAGTAATAGCTTGTTTGCACTTTGTAATTTTAAAGTATTTGGTCTGTTTTCTTCTCTAATATTTTCAATCTATAAATATTTATTCACTCCATTTCATTCAATCAAGACATATTTTCAAGATATCTCACGAAATACGAACCATGTTTCATATTCATGTTATACATTATTTAATACTGGATTAAACTGGATTTGATTTCAGTGGAATTTTGTTATTGCTTTCAGAAAATGGTTATTTATCATCACTGGATTTATAAAAAGTAAAAAGAATGAACTCTTTTGCTCTCAATACAACATATTTAACATTGTCATGTAAACAAAAAGAAGCCTTTTCGGTAACTACTCTAGATGTAATGTGAACGTGTTGTAATCTATTCATCAGTAAAGTAATTTCAGGAATGTGACTAATTTAAAACGTAATCCATATCATCTTTTTATGTTACTAACATATCATTATTATTTTTAAATTGTTACTCAGAAATTCTAAACTACTGCACAATAGAATATTAATCTTTACATCTTATAAATCATTAGGTGAGTGTATAATTAGCTGCAGTTCATGTCATTCTCAATTTGTGAATTCTTTCCTAATGAAAGTCATGTGATACGTCATCTTAAAAACGTGCAATTAACACTTATAATTTTAAGTAGCTTTACTTTTCACCATTCAATGTCATTAGAAATTGCCACTTATATCCTTCAAAGGAACATAATCAATCAGTAAAGTTTTTTTGTTAATTTTAAATTGGAATTTCAAGCAGAAAAGAGCTTTGACAAATGGTCGAGCTGTTAACGTTTCTGTTTACATTTTTTCTAAGTTTTTTCATCACAAATGAAAGTCTTTGCAATATGAAATATCACGAACGCTTTTTAGTTACACGTTAACCATTTCTATAAACGTGACTTAATCGGATTCACGTGAGACAACTTTGGAGAAATAGGAAGAAATCGTTGTTGGTTATTTAGTAATTAAGCACAGTAGAGAAAAATAGGCTTGATTATTGATGTCTGATAGAATAAATTAAAGCTTAAAGACTTAGTTTTACAGAGTCGTATAGACCCTCTTTTTATCCGTTGTATGTTACTTTCGTTGTTGACCTCACGGTGTCATTTATGGAAAAGTGAACTGTTTAGTACTTTCACGTCATAAAAATAATCGATCACCTTGTGGTTGTCAAATTACATCATTCATAGAAACTTTCCGAATTCTAAAGAATCAATAAAAGCATAAGAATATCCCCAGTTAAACTGTATGATAAAATGTGTTGTTTACAACTGACGTCATCCTTTAGAAAAATTAAATTATTCTTATACGCAAAGACTTTCTAATTGTTGTTTTATTTAGAAATGTCAAAAGTTTATCGTGACTGTAAAAGAAGTAGATAGTTTCAAACGATCAAGCATCATTTTAAAACACTCGTTTATCTCATTAATTTTAAGACTTCAGAATTTCGTCTTACAAAACCAAGTAAGATTATCATAATTTCAACAGGTCATTTTGACTACTGAATACAATATCAACGGGTAAGTGTTTCAGTTCTTGCCATTAATTCATTAATCTAGATACATCTTATATACTTCACTAACATTACTACTGATAATAAGTTAAACTTAATAGTGTTAATAGAATTATGTTATGTTCTTATTAAGTCACAAAAATTAACAAAATGGATTGAAAAAATAAGTAAATTAGTATGTTGAATAGTTTGCTTTCTAGCGATCTTCTTAGTTTAAGGTTAAACATATTATTATATTTATGTTTAGGATTCATTTAGTTAAAAAAGCTGTAAATTAAATATTATAAATATATTTAATTTTCTATTATCCTGTAACACTCATTGAATCCAAATGTTAGTGAGTAATGAATTTAATTTGTAATGTACAATATTTCTCTGTAATCTTATTTACTTCAATGTATAACTACATTAATAAACAGTTAGTTTGTTATCAGAAGGGGTTTTGTGGAGATTTTGATGATTTCAATAGTTGAATTTATGAATCAACTGAAGCTAGACCACCATGGAAAACCTGGAAACACTGGACGGCCGTTTCGTCCTAGTTTGTTGACATACATTATTGAGACTTGATACCTTTATTTAAAAATGAAGTACATTTTTTATGACTACGATGGTAAATATTAAGATTTTTGATTAGTTATAGAAAAGATAGATTTCATTATTAACTAATCTTCGGTTTTTAACTAAAACTACCATAAACATTTTAAAACTTCTAAATATGTAAAATACTACAACAATACAATTTCCTGAAACTTCTTTTTGACTAAACATCGGTCAGTAAAGATCTAAATGAATTAAAGTCTGACTCTCTTTTCTATAAATTACTCTAGTGAAATGACATTTCTTTTATATTTTATTAAACCCATGATCTTTTAAAGTGAATTTATAAGTATCAATGCTAAGATTGGACTTGATAATTTTAAATAAATTGAGGATTAGGTAGAAATGTAAGCCACTTCTTACATTAAGTCATAAAACGTCAGAAATACAATTTTTCTACTCATTAGGATATTCCCGTATTTTAATTTGGAACAACATATATAAGCGAACAATATTGTTTTCGATTAGATCCTCATCAGACTTTATTCTAATATACAGTAATATTCATATGCATATACGACATTATTAAACCAATCAAGGCAGTTTATGAGTCAATGATAACAGTGGAATAGATTACATAAATAAGTGAAAAGTAGAACAACACACCTAAGCGAACAATTGTTTTCAGGTAGATCATCATCAGGCTTTACTCTAATATGCATGAATATTTATACGAAAATGTTAAACCAATCAAGGCAATATGGGTCAATAATCACAATGAAATAGAATAAGTCAACATACATAATAGGTAAAATTCATGTTGATAGTAGGAAGACAGGTGTACTGATAATAGTAAGAATTATAAAATACGATAACAGAAGTCTTATCATTAGTTAAACGTTGAAAATAGAAGGTCAAACGTGAGTATAAATAGACTTGCAATAGTCATCACAAAACATTGCCTTGATTGATTTAACATTTTCGTATAAATATTCATGTATACTAGACTAAAGCTTGATGACGATCTAATTGGAAACAATTGTTCGCTTATATGAGTTGTTCTAATTTTCACAATGAGAGTCTTCAATATTCTAAGTGAAAAGTATAAATTGGTAGTGTGATGACAGGTGTACTAGTTGTGATAAGAATAATAAAGGCTTGAATCAGTGTTACATAATGAGAAATAGGTCAATGATTAGAAAAATATAAACACTGAAATAGCATTCATAAAAACTATAAGATTAGTTAATATGTGTTCAGATAATTGGGCCGTGAAACGTATATTTGAGAGAAAATAAAATAAAATGGTAGGGGGGGGTGAAGAAAAAATAATAGTAAAAAACGAAAAGAGAGTATGGAAAATAATGATCAATAAAATCATTTATTAAGGCCAAGGGAGAGATAAGGGTGTTATAAATTTCTTATGAACACAAAGACTTGGATTGTTGGCTCGGGAAAACATTTATTGCACGGCCATTTTTGTATTTTTTTTTCGAGTGAAATTTTTTTTCGTCCCTTTGAAAAAATTTTTCAGCCCCATCTTCCAATAATTTTCATGCTGTTTCGTCCAATCAAATAACTAGTTTTGAGTTCGTTATAATTGGTCGTTTATTTCTTAAAATCGATATAAAATATCAGGACATGACAATAGAGCACATTTTCTTACAATTATGGACGGTGGTAACATGCGAAACGCGAGCTCTGTCGTTCCTCACGTTGTCACAGAAACCGATAACCTGTTCGTTCTTGAGCACATTGTATGTCGTAACGTCTCAATCACTTGACGAGCTCCATAAGAACTTATGAAACAGCTGCGTACTGCCATTATGTGGTGAGGGATTCTCATTTACATAGAGATCGGAAGCCGTATATTAGATTCGTATGTTGGAGAAATGGTCGTAGAACATCTAGCGGTTCTTCACAGCCGAGTAGACGAACGAGGTAATTTAATTAGTGTTATTATAATTTTTCATTAAGAACTACCGTGAACACTCAATGTCCTTCCTTCGTATTTTGTAAGTTACCAACTGTCAAAATAATGTCGATATGGATGCAACGTTGAGGAATGACGAGGAAGAAATTGTTTCGATTAGCTCAGAGGAGTTCACTGAACGAGACGACGACAATGATGAAGACGCGTACGACAACAGACTTTATGATATTTGCAATCTTGCGCAACCGCCACATGAAACTGCTGATGGAAGTACCTGAGTTTTTGTCCATGCGAAGCAATGCTTCATTTATTTTGTGCCTACGACCCATCAACACACGTCCATGGAATCCACTGTCCCATGTACGGAGCTATAATGGAATAATAGCAACGCCTTTGTTCATGAAACTCGGAACTGTTAAGAGAACGAGTAAAGGCCCTTTTCAGGGCCACCCACAATTTGATTTAAATTCTTTTGTTTCGATTCCTTATTTCTATAGCAAAGGTCAAGTGATCAAACCATCAAAATCCATTTAAGATTAATAGTCATTACGTGATTAGCACCTACGTATTCGTAAACGCTTTTTAAGCATTGTCAAATATACTGTATAAGTAAACGATTTCGTATAAGAAATGTCATCTAATGAACACTAATCTGTCTAACAATAGTACATGCAAAACTTATTCAGAATGTTTCAATGTTTTGTCATAAAGTTAGTTACTATAGGCGAATGTAGTACTACCAGTTCACTAGTACAACGACATCATTTCTATAGGAAAGGTCAACTGAACCAACATCGATGAATTCTAATTAAGCCTTAGTGATTAAGCAATATAATCAATTGAGATTTATAGAAATTTCGTGGATTAGATCATTAAAAGAGAATTTTGGAGAAAACTTATAACTGGTTTTAATAGTTGATGATAGTAATAACTGACGTTGAAAGGTGGTCAAATGTTTAATACACAATTAGTAAAGAAATTATTCATCGAAGTGTTTCCATTAGTTTTTTCTTAACACATCGTATGTTATTTTAATAAACGTTATATGCGTAGCAACATATCCATAAATCATCATGATAGAATAATGAATAGGGCATGCATAAATCACGCTAACCGTTAACGATCGGTAAATGAAGCAAAATAGTAATAACTTCTCTCAGAAAATAGCAAATAATATTTATGATTGGGCACTTTTCCAAACAGTAATTCTTAGTAGAAAAGAATTGTTTAGTTTTACCTGAATAATGGTGTCATAAATAAATGCAAGATTGTCAACTGAGTTATTTTGCTAATCCATTAAAAGCGTTACTTGTTTTTAACTGTACATTCTTTGCAGTTGAGCAGTTTAAAATTACGACAAAAAGTACTTGTCTATGTAAGTAGTCATGTGAATCGATTATTGTGCTCGTCAATTAGGCTTGATATTTTTTGCACGTAATGTCAACAGCATATTTGCAGTTTTAAAAAATCTCCATAGAATATTCTATGTTGTTGAATAACAAGTTTTGACAAGTATTTGAAATATTGGTTACATTCAGTGTAAA